TCTTTTTCGATCGAGTAGTTGACCTCCCGCGCCGCCCGATCCGACGTAACTTTTTTATGTTCCATCGATCCTTCATGAAACGTAAACAACCTAGTTTTTGTACTTCAGAAAGGCTTGTGTCAGGTTCGTTCCCAGGGTCTGCCTCGACTCGCACTGTCCAGTTCTAGTTTAGCAGTGAATTCATACGATGGGGACGAATTCGAGTATGTACATGGCATGCACGCTGATCGTGTAATAAAAGTGAAACGACGAAGATGGCGTGAATCGGTCTGTGAAGGTTTGGCCAAGTCGTCTTTAAAACACGTAAAGTGACACTGACAGATATCAAGCGATGTAGCAAAGTCTAAAATTTTGTGTAGAGGGTGGGTAAAGGTAAGTTGTTCGTCAAACCGAGAGCAGCGTATTGATTTAATGAACGTCAGGGCTGGGCCCTATTCTCGAGGTCGGAGGTCTGGAGCCTTGTTCCATTTGGCATTTGTTTATTGCATTTACGTCTGGCAACTCTCCATTCACTTTGTACAGGGATTTACATATTTTCCTCTTTTTTGGCAGCAACGTGATAAAAATAACTAGAACCTTTTCAGTACAGTGTGGGAAATGCTTATAGTGCATAAATAGTGAAATTTCGGGCACATTTGATGTAAAGCCTTGGTTGCAAGTTCTATTAGATTTTGAACCATTTTCCCCATCGACTGCTAGGGGGGCTTCGCAGTTTTTGCCCCTTTAAGATTTAAGTGTGAAAGATGAAATAGCTATCAATTTACCAATCAGAGATAAGAATCAGTGGTGTCATCCTGACCTTGAGAATTTCAACTTTGTCCATGTCATACATGTTCAGATGTTCAGGCATGTCGGGGGATGTTGCCCATACCCAGTGCAAAGGCATTGCCATGATTGACTGCCGGCTGAGGGCCATTTGCATATCCCTGACCCATGTCCCATTCCATGTTGAACCTGGTAACATGCCAAAAAGCCCCATGACGCTATGGAAAAGGTCGCAGTAACAAAAGGCCCCTCAAGTTATATGCAATTTCACATACACCAACATTTTATTAGTAGGCCTATAACAATATGGCCAATTCACAATAAGCCAATTTCCCGTTTTGTCGCCATGTTGATTTTACCACCCCAACGCATTGAAGTGAACAAAGCTAGAGGGGAACAGATTATCTACATTAATAACAATGGCGAGCATCCATTGGCCAAACGTTATGCAACATTGTTGTCATGAATTCGTTCCCCTCTGGTAAGTCTTCTGAGCTTGTGCACATGAAACGTGAACAAGGCTTATAGAGTCCTCCAAGAGTTTGCAACGTGTTGCCCAATCACAATTTGCGAAATCTGTCGACCCAATGCACATTTGGAAAGAGTCAACAGATTTCGCGCTCTGTGATTGGTCAATGTGTTGCAAACTCTTGGAGCCGCACTAATGTGAATCGTCCGTATTAAAGTGCAATTCCTTGCTTTTCATGAAATGCATGGCAAACGACCGCCCCCTACGCATACGCGGACGACATGGTGCCTTACTCAAAACATGCGAGTGGAAAGAAGACTCGGCCCCAAACCGCCAATTTTCACTGACTTTAAAGCTTGGCCCACATTCTGTCAGTTACATGTATCTGTGATTTATTCACATCTACAGCTCTTCCATGCATGAATAAGGGACTGTCGGCTGCTATGTTTTTTGCGCATGTACAATTGCGTACTACTAGACGAACATAGCACGTTCATGAATCACGACAGAAAGCATAGAGTTGCGCTAAATTTCCTGCAAAATACGTTTTCCGCGGGGGGGGGATTTTGTAATTTCAACACAGCATTTATGGAATTCAGGAAACAAGACACTTGTGAACAACATTCGAGCTGCCTCTGCTAGGTAAAAATGTGAGAAAAACCTGTTGACAAAAATTTTGCTATGACATGAGGACTTTATATCCTGGATGTTATTCGCAATACAATGTAGACGAAGTCCACTGGGCTAGGTTTACCCCCAGAACTGTGGGAACGCAGCAGGTATCAGACCCCACAGTTAATGGACATAGTAAAACTTGTCTACAGTACATCATGTGCAATTGATAGATTTAGAACAGTGTTAAATGTCAATTTGACTTCTTTTGGTTCTCATTGTAGAGGAAACCCAGATGGACCATGCTGATCATCCAAGCTATGGTGGTTCTAGTGACTCAGAGGGTGCCAGTGCACGGCCTCCCACAAAGAGGGCCAAGTCTAAGGCCAAGGTGTGGGAAAAGGTAGCTTGGTTTACACGGCGGCCTCGAAGAGAACCGGAGACAGACTCCGTCTTGACAGGGGAAGATGGAGGAGCAGCCTGTCTGCCTTTGGATGTGATGGACATTGACGATGTCCCATCTTCCAGCTCCAGTCATTCTCCAAATATGAGCCAGCCGCTCTCAGAGTACAGCTCATCAAGCGAGGGTGATATACATGTAGCAGCTTATGGCAACACCTCCAAAGATGCTGAGGACAGCCAGGTGGTATACCAGAACTGTGTGCGACCAAGCCTGGTGAAAGCCATGTTTGGCAAGAACCAGGGCAGGGGACGTGATCGGAAGTTGCAGAGCTTCAAGAAAGAAAAGAAGAGCACCAAGAGGTCAACGAGAGAATTTGCCAATGATGGGGATCATTTCTGGACAAGTAAGAGCATCTTTGATGATAAGGAGATCAATGGGATTGAGACAAAGCAGCCGGCAGCCACAGCAGAAGTTGAGTGGGACATGAAGACGCTGCAGTGTCATTGCCCAGCATGCTGTTCATGCCGTCACAGCAAGTCAGATGTTAGTTTTGCCAGCTGGCCTCGGAAGCGAGCCTGCCCTCTGCAGTTGAGCTTGCGGATGGCCAAGGCCAAACTCCCGATGGCCGTCCAGCTTGCATCAGCTCAAGCACATTCAAGCCCCGATCAGGAGGTGAGAGACAAAAAGCACCACTCTCACTCAGCTTGTCTTCCTTCCAGCTCTGAGCCCCTGGACAAAAAAAGAATCCAGCCACCCACAGACGACCTGCAACCCCTTGAGTCAGTGCCATGCTGCTGTAATCGCACAGCTAATCATCATAACAAATCTAGAAGTCTACCAGCCTGTGTCTCTCTAAGCTCCCCTAGTCTTCACCCTCACGTCACCATCTCCCAGCCATCTTCACCGGACCACCTCACTGTCTGCAGGAAACGGGATATCCGCATTACCAAGAACCACCGACCATCATCCCAAGGATCTAAGACTGCATCCCATGAGGTCCCGTCGAGGTCTCGAGGTGGTAAAGCCAAACCTTCAAGTTTCAACTTGGGGGTTGAAGGGGCAATATTCAAGCACAGAATGGAGGTAAGTTGACTCCCTGTTCACAGTACTTGCCACCTGTCAGATTTTTGCTGTGTTTTCCAAGAAATGTATAAATTGCTGCCTTTCAAAGAAACACAACCTATGTAAGAATTTTACATGAGGCATTATTTCCATTTTTTTTTTACAGCTGATTCAGTTGTGGTTTGATGAATTTAGCGATCAACAAAAGAATACCATGATAAAGCGTCTCGTGGTAAGCTTCCAAGTCTACATGACATGAGTGTGCCATACACGTGTGTGTTCAGATTGTGTCAAACCAAATGTGATAAGCAAATAATAATTGGGATGTGACTTTTCCATGCTACAGTGGATCTAATATTTTCATTCTAATAAAATCTTGAATTTGTGTGTTGAAAGATCGCATGTGGAGCCATTTAGTTTGGGAAATTTAGTGAAACACAGACCGCCATGCTATACAAATTGCAACAAACGACGTACTGTATCTTTTGTCTTTCAACTAAGTGTTACTTTTGCCTAAACAGTAACTTGAGTAATATTCATTCTTAAATTTTTGACAATTGGCCAAACATGGAAATTGTGGATTGGAGTGGTGGAAAAGAAGGAAAGTTTATTGGATATTCATTTTGCTTAGGTTTTCAATTGAAAATGGTATTTTTCTAACTTAAAATCTAGCATAAAAATGAATGAATAAGTTCATGAGGTAATTTCATACACTATTCAATACACTGGTTTTATTGTAGGAGCAGTGCGACCTTCCACAGATGCACATGTTGTCTGTTACCATGGCACCCATCCTGCATCAAAGCTGCCCACACAATTGCCAAGACCTGTTGTCATGGTTACCTGCTCAATTATCCCTTCGTATTCTATCCTACTTGGACCCAGGTACTTACACATGAAAGGAGTGTGAATTTTTCCCTAAACATCAGAATTGCAATGTCAGATGTAATTTAGACTTAGCTTGCTTGTCAATAAACATGTTAATGAAGTGACTCACCTTTTGGCGTTTTAATTTTCAAGTTTTGGTTAATGTGTGGTTTGTTTCCGCTGCTTAAATTTGTCCAAAAAAATCATACTATTAATTCTCTCCATTTTCCACTGAGCAGAAGTACCTCTGACCTTAGCTCTTGTTAAATTTCACAGTTAGTTTGTGTAGGTGTGCCTGCGTCAGCCGTGCATGGTACGAGCTAGCTAATGAGCCTACATTATGGCGTAACTTGTGCCGACTTCCCAAGTGGGCATTGCCCAAGGCTGAGGAAGAGAAGCAGATGATTAACCACATCTCGTCCTATATCCACGTAAGTTGACAGTCACATTGTCAAACATTGTAAAGAGACTTCACAATTTATAACCTCAAGCCCACTCAGTAATAATGCTAAGGTGCTTACCCTTGCTACCATTTCCCCTGGTTTGAGGAAACTCAGTGTTCCATCGTCCATCCATTTTTTCCCTACAGTGGAAGCAAGCCTTTGCTGAACGCTATAGGCTGAGACGCAATTGGCTGAAGGGACTGTGTTCTGTCCGCACATTTGAAGGCCACACGCAGGGCATATCTTGTGTGCAGTTTGATGACACTCGTATTGTCAGTGGGTCCTCGGACAACACAATCAAGGTTTGCCTTGAGAAGGATCTAAGTTTACTTAGGACTTGTCATCTGTTGGCTTAGGATTTAGGACAAGTCACTGGGGACTTGACTGCAGTGATATGAGAAATCAACAATTAGGACTTCAGATTATTGTAACAAAGATACTTGCCACGGTGATTGGAAACTCTAGTGGCGTGGTCGTGAAATGTAACCGACACTTGACTGCAGCGATTAGAATTATGACCTATATGGACTTGAGATTTGAACCGAGGCTATGTCCAACTCAGCTACTTGTGGCTTAGAGTAACTCACATCTGTAGAAAGTTCCCGTAGTCGGTAGTCATTAACTTTCAAAGGCATGTGCACTTTCTTGTCATTGTTACAACATTCAGATGTAGTCTCTAAGTGGAGCAGAGTGATTTTGAACCCTCCTAACAAAATTTGACCATATTGGCATGAAACCTGATATTTCTGACTCCTGTTAACTTAATTTGGGACAAATTAAACTTCAAAAATTACTTCAGACAACAGCGAGTTTAAGTGTTCATGTCTTGGTTCTTTCTTAGGTGTGGAACATTCGCACCAATTCTCCTTGGTCAGTACAGACCCTTGTTGGTCACTCAGGCACGGTCAGATGTCTGCATCTTCAAGGCAGTCAGCTAGTATCAGGTTCTACAGACCGTACCATCAAGGTACAGTGCCACATTCCTGTCTCCCTGCCTAACCATAAAATCCATCAGTATCCTACAGGCATTAGAGTTTTATGTACATGTATAACAAATGTACCTGTGTGTTGACTGAAGTGTAGTAGGGCTTGAGTTGGACCAAGAGAGGGTGCAAGCTTCCTATCAACAGAGGCTCCTTTGGTAGTGACTACACATCACTCATTCACGAATGACTGTGAAAAACAAGTGTTGCAGTCAAATCGCTACCAACGAAATGAGCGCTTCTGACCAACGTGGCTTTTTTCAACCGATGAGGGGGTGCTCCTGCTCAGGGCAGATAGAGGCTCAAAGATTGGGCCATAAAATTCAGCATTTTGTAGAACTGCCTTGGGTGTAGTGTAATGAACAGCATTTGTTCTCTTCTTTGTGTTGATGGTATAATGCTTATAATGGAGTTACATCTGCATTAAGTAGACAGAAAAAGCTCCCAGCTTCTTAATTATTTACCTGTCATGTGTCACCATCATTTCACGTATTCTAGCTTGGCTTGCAACTTTTCCCTGGATGAGCCGATTTCTTGTTTTCCACCTTCCATGTGTGCAAACTGAGGAACTGAGCATGGTACTTCCTCGGTTTTCTGACTTTGTTTTGCCATGATGTATTAGTCCAACACTTGAACAGTTTTTAATCTCAAAATGTTTTTGTACCTTAGGTGTGGGACTTGTCGATGCAGAATAGTTGGTCAAGTATTGCGTGTCGTGTGACTATGACTGGACATGAAGACACTGTCCGATGCTTGCAGGTGGACGATGAGAAGGTGGTCAGTGGCTCCTATGACAAAACGCTTAAAGTGTGGGACATCCGGACAGGACATTGTCGACACACACTCAGGTATGCGGAAGGTGCAAGGGGGATTGTCTATTGCAAATAGGTTAATATGACTAGACAAAAACGAAACGAAACTTCCAACTTTTAAGAATTTGAATTGGAGAAATGCAGCTGTTATTAATTTTGGTGCCTTGTAGTGGAATTTTGTGTCAGAGCGATGTACAGGCCTGTCATGTTTTGCTTTACTGTTCACTGATGTGTTTATGTTACAAGTTATATATGGAGCATTTTCCAAGATCTTGCTTGCTCAGATGGAACCTGGACTCACAAGGATGTGATTACTAGCGCAGGCAGTCTCACCAGTTGAATGTTTCAGTTGCTTGTCAGCTGGCTTGAGTGATTTATTCTGGATAGTCTAGATGGTGTTTTGTTTTTCAACAGGGGTCACACAGGGGCTGTCTTGTGTCTTCAGTTCGACACAACAAAAATTGTCTCAGGATCAGCAGATAAAACCATCAAGGTAAGTCACTTTCTTTGAACATGGCATTGCAGAATTCTTCAAGATCCACCACTTTTTGGATTATTTTGAATGTCTATACTTGAAGGGAAAGTCAAGCCGCTGTTGTTTTTTTATAAGGTGGTTTACCCCTTGATAGCAAATACAAAAAAATTAGTATGGAGGACGAAAAGTGGCCATCGGCTCTTCTGTCCTCAATGGACCGTGAATGGGATCATGAATCCATAGGTTACGACCATTTCCATTCTGGGGGAGTGAAGACTTATAGAAACCAATACAGCATGCTTTCTGTGGACCTATGAGGCAGAGAAAACAGCATCTCAAAGGAAATACAGTTTTACAGCTAACAGACACACAAGCTTGCCTGGGCCAAGGAAAACGTGTGAATCTTTAATTATAAAAGATAGGATGGGGTGTAATTATTGGTTTATACGTCTTCAATCCCCAAGAAAGGAAATGGTCATAACCTGAGGTTCAAAACCCACTTCACGGCCCTTGGAAGGCAGAAAAGCAGATGGCCACTTTTCGGCCGACTATGTACAATTGCTCCTCCAGTATAAAAAAAATGTGAAAAAGTAGAATTCACGGTTGTTGTCAAAACATTCGATCCTCATTTCTGCCTGTTAGAAAGGAGAAAAGCAGATAGCCGCATTTCGGCCGCCAGCGAATGAAAAAAAAGGTAAAATCTGCTTTTCTTGAATCAGAAAAGCAGAAAAATAGAAAAATGCATAACCAAACAATGTTCGTTCTGCTTTTGAGGTGGCAGAAAAGTAGAGAAGTCAAATTGCATGTTACCAGAACATAAAATCTGCTTTTCTACCATTCTGATATCAGATAAGCAGATGGCCACGTTTTGTCCTCCATAACATGAGTCTTTTTCATTACTGCTCTTTGTTTGGATGTAGATGAGTCTGGAATGCTCCTTGCAAAAAACAATGGAATATTTTAGATTCATCTGTAAATACTTGAATGATTTCTTTGTGCTTGTAACTTCTCAGCTTTGTTGATTTTTCTTTTCTTGTGTAGATATGGAGCCTAGCCACAGGTTCTTGTCTGAGATCACTGGAAGGCCATCGTGATGCTGTAACCTGTCTACAGTTTGATGCCAGCAAAATCATCAGTGGTTCCCTGGATAGGAACTTGAAGTTTTGGGAGCTGACTACAGGCCTCTGTACAAGTACTATTGATTGGGCCCACTCAGAGGGGCATACTGGGGTCGTAAGGTAAGATTTGACTGTGTAGGCATCATGCAAAACTACACTATTGGTTGAATAATGAGAAATGTAACTCACTGGATAATTCAGTGCCATCTCTGACATGTCTCTACACTTAATGGCAGTGTTGTAAATAGATCATTTTTTTCCCAAGTCAAGTGGCAAGTCCAATTTTTCCAACTCAAGTCAAGTCTCAAGCCAAATTTTTCAAGTCAAGTTTGAAGTCAATTACTTTTTCAATTATCGCACCAAGTCAAGTTTTCACATGCAACATGCCTGTGTAATTTTCAAATTGGAGTACACAAACAGAAAATGTCATGCCAGGTTACCGTACGGCTTCTTATCCGTTAGGCCAAATAGCCACTTTATCTATATACTGAAAGGTCACTACCTTCAGGCATGTCAGGGTAGACATGGTGTCGCACAAGGCCATGTCGTACACATGCAGATCCATCACTACACGTGTATCATTCAGCAAAGAATTTTTTATAAGTTGGTGCTCAGATTTTTTGAAGACAAATTTTAGAAGAGAATGGAAAACCCAAGAAAGTATTTTCTGTGGTCACAAGAAAAACATATAAGGCTCTTCAAGTCTGAGGGAAGAATACAATTCCCCCCCCCCAAAAAAAGGAAAAACGAAACAGTGGTATCCCTTACCACTAGCGGTAGCAGCCAAAGACCAAGGACTTCTTCATCAATTGAACAATGAAACCCCCCAAAAAATTTACTCTTATATTGGTAAATTGTTTGCTGGTGGATCTGAGACTTCTCAAAATTTAAAAAAAAAGTGTTTTTTCCGGTTCTGAATCCAGAAAGTCCTTGGATCCATGCACCAACTTGAAAAAACTCTCACCATATCCATTATACCCAGCAAGAAATGAGACCGAGGGGTACCCCCCCCAACATGTCCAATCCCTATACACATTCCAGACTATTGTTACTTAACACATCCCCCCAAGATGTCTGAAAAGAATTCCCCAGATTCCTGCCAGACAATGACCAACACAAAGCAGGGGGGTTTCTCTCCGTCTCATACCTTGCTGCATATGATATCCATGCTCGCTCTACAGTAGCATGGTTCCCATCTGACCAGTCGCTAACATGCAGTGCAAGACCACAAGATGTATGAGAACCAGTTTTCATGTGCACATGTTGAAGTGTGCATTATATTAGAATTCAAGTACAATTTTCATACTTTTCAAACATTCTCTTTCTACACAATTTTTTGTCGAGTAAAATGTCGTAAAGGCATTAACTATTAGAATTTAAATTTTTTTAAAAATCATAATGAAATTTTTAAAAATTAACTATTTCCAAAGCATCTCTTGTTTATCGATGAGAATTCTTGCTTCTCGTAAACTGTATTGTAGTAGTCTTTGTTCCAGCTGTTAAAACCCAGTGTAACATGTTTAGAGTACAAAGTATTAGTTGATTATGTGAAGTAATTATACTTTGTCAGTGGATGGTAATCAGACTGTACAGGCACAAAACCACTTTCTCCATTTGTGTACACCGCGCGTGATCGACCAGTCTGTCGAAGCTCACTCAACGCTAGGATTCATTACATGGACTTATCTTCAATCATGCTTCAATCGTCACCTGATAATATGCCAGTGGATGCACCTGAAAGTTACTGTTCTTTAATAATTAGAAGAAAACCTATGTGTTAATGTCACTTGTCAATAAAATCAGCTTTTGTCAAGTCAAGTCACGAGTCTTTCTTTTCCTAGTCAAGTCTCAAGTCAAAAAAATAGCAACTTGAGACCGACTTGAGTCTGAGTCAGTGACTCCAGTCAACAACACTGCTTAATGGATTTATACATTATCAGTTTAAAAGTAGTTGCCATGCTCTAGTCTATCAGGTTGGCCTCATCTGCGTAAATCACAGTGCTGTCTGTAATTCTCTGAATACATGTAATTCTCAAATTTATACCACAGGTTTCCATGTCAGATCCAGCATGGGGAGGGGTGCAGCATTTATGCAATGAGTGTGCTGCAAATGGACATGAAAGTAGAACACTCAACCATGGCATAGTTTTGCCTCATTTTTAAAAGGTCATTAACCGTAACCCTCCTCAATCCTTCACCTGTTGGAGGATTGAGGAGGGTTAGGGTTAAATGACCAGTTCAGGGTAGAAGAAACTAGAGAACAGAACAGGTATCATCCCTCCAAACAAAATGAGAAATGGGGGTTGAGAGGTGCACTTCCCTCTGTATCCTCTACTTTTTTTTTTGAGTCCTCGTAGAATTTCATTGTTAAGATTGAATACATTAACAGGTGTTTACAGGTTGCGAGTGGCATTGTTTAGTTGTCCCTGGAATTCAACAGGTGCAATCTGTTCAGAATTTTCAGACGGCTTTACATTATTGAGTGTTTGTTATTATACAGATGTCTGCAGGCAGATTCCTGGCGTGTAGTCAGCGCATCGGATGACCGCACACTCAAAGTCTGGAATCTAGAAACTGGCGAGCGACTGGTCACTCTTCGCCATCATACAGATGGGGTCACTTGTCTTCAGTTTAACAACTCCAAGATTGTGTCAGGATCATACGACAAGACCGTTCGACTCTGGGACTTTAGCTCTGTATAGTATATGATGCCACAGGTCTTGTTGACTTGCTCATTACTGATCAAATCATTTCGTTCAGTGTGCTTGATAATAGTCTATTATGACTACATAAATTATTGCATTGTTCTCCTGAATCAATGTGGAAAGAACCTAGCATGGAGAGCCTCTTGTTGAATGTCCACAGTTCGTCGAATATACAAAGCTGGCAAATTGTTAATCATTGACATGCTGGTGGGTATCTTTAAAGTGGTGGACATCCACAGGTTGTATGCAACTTGCTCAATAGCTACATTTATGACATCCACAAGTGGATAAATACATACGTATATATCCACAATCATTAGAACCTACATATTGTTCCGTATGTTGAAGTTGTCACTGTGCATAGGTTGTTTCATATCCATGTTCTATAGTCACTCATTCAGTGTCAACACATAGTTCACTGTTAACAGGTCATTCATCAACAAGTTGATGAATATATCCACAATCATCAGCATCCACTAA